CTGCATAAATGTTGCTGTACATTTAGCTCTGCTTGCCTGGAACTGCATGTCCCGGGCGTTGGGAGATAGGAATTTCACACTCCTGCTGCCCCAAGGCCGGGCCTTGGTTGGCCTTGTGGGAAATCCAGCCCTGCTTTCAGGTATAACGGCCTCCACTCGTCTAGGACAGCTTTCCACAAGATTTTGGGGTGTGCGCTGCTCTCGGCCACCACAAGAGGGAGCTGAGGGACTGCTCATTGATCCCAATAACAAACCTGCACCTCCTTTCCCTTGTTGGCTCTCTCTGGTGGTAGCTGGGAGCAGCTGCTGCAGGAAGGAAGGGCAAATACAAACTGATTACAAGCTGTGGAGGTCCTTGTGTTTGAAACTTTATCAGCAAAACGGGTATTCCTTCCAATGAAGTCTTGTGTGACCAGGACGCGGGGAGATGTCCGAGTCCTTGCTGGAAGTGAACTTCTTAAACTGCACACTGAAGCTTGCCTTCCTTGTGCTCTCCGGTTGCTCCTGTCCTTTCTTTTTAGCTGGAAGTCCAACTTCCTCATCTCAGTTGTCAGGGTTGGTGATTGGCTGCCGAGGCCTGGGCACTGCATTGTGGTGTGGAGGTTCTCTCCCATACCAGCTCATTCCTGAGGATTTGGAGGCAGTGCGGGGAGAACCTGTCCTTGGCCATTCAAAAAAATAAAAATGGGCATAGTAAAAGCATCTTTAAAAAATGGTGTGTCCAAATGTTTTCAGTCTAGTATACAGTAGTTGTCAGGCTGATCCACAGCTCGGCATATATAAAATTGTCTCTATAATAAATAGTCTCTATAATAAATGTGTATAACATTTTGTGCCTTTTTATTTATCTGATCACATCCAACGTATAGGGAAATAGCTGTTGAGCCTGCCAGGGACTCCCTTTTGCTTGTTGGTGGTGGCAGCACTGTGTTTTCAGGCCTCTGCAGCTTTGCCCCCGCTTGTGCTCCTGCTTCGGAATCGTAAGGAAAGCCTTGCCAATCTCTTACTCTTACTCTGATACCTGAGCTGTCTTTCCATGAATTGCAATGATGGGAGGAGCTACTGTCACTCAAACATTCTTACCCAACCCGTTAGACCAGGGGTGGGCAACTCCAGCCCTCCAGGCTTTTGTGGAACTACAAGTCCCATGAGGCATTGCAAGACAGTTACAGGCATAGGCATGTTGGGATTTGTAGTTAAACAGCTGGAGGGCCAGAGTTGCCCACCCCAGCATTAGACAGTGTTGATGTAGGCAGCTGGGTCCCTGATGGGGCTGGTTGGCTCCTCCTGTGCGGTAGCCCAGCCATTATTGCTGCTATTGACCTGTCATATTGGTGGAAGCTACTGACATCTTTTGCAGTCTCTGCCCCCAGACCTTCAGAGGGAAGAGGGGACTATGAAGAGGTAATTGCAGAGGTTCTTTATAACTGTAAATGGGGCAGAATTCTTAGTGATGGTGCCACTTGTTTGTATTGGTTTTACTGGCTTTGCATTCACATATACTTTAAAGCGGACAATGACCCCCTTTTTCTAAAAATCACCTCAGCATGGGGATATGAAATCATCTCACCTTCATTAAACATATTTTTCTTTTACTTACAATGATTGTTTTATACACTTGCTGGTCCTCTTGGGAATTGGTGATGTAATCTGTGCCCCAATTGTTGCATCCTGGGAAGGTGACATCAGTAGAGCATTGCTGTAATCTCATGAGATCTCAGGGAAAGGCATTTTCCTCCCCTGAGATGATGTGCATGGTCACATGTCCTAGTCACATGTGCCAGAGTTTCAGGAAGTAAAGGGAGATATATTCATCTGCCCTTAGTAAAAATGGCCACTGTGAGAAGTATGGGGAGGAAAAGAAAAATAATAAAAAGCTGGCAAAGATCTGAAAGTATCTGTGTGTAGATTGTCATCCCTGAACATTTCTAAAGGTGTCTCTGTTGCCATTTTAAAGATCTGGGTAAAGTTTTTTTTTCTGGAAGAGAATCCAACAATTCACATATATAGACGAAGTGCATGTATCAGAAAATTCATGAAGGCCTCATTCACACGAGAAAAGGCCGGTACAGATCCGTGGTGCGTGTACGGCCCTATCGGGCAGCTCCTGGGAAGGACAGGGGCGGTGTGTGATTAGTACACAGCCCCCGTCCTTCTCTATGGGAGTACGCCGCCCTACGCTCACCCGCCCTGCACGTAGATGTGGGTGTCCGTACTCGTATGCTGACAGGATGGATCCTGTCCGAGCCGGGACAGCCGCACCTGTACAGACCTGCACTTGGGGTGAGCGTACGGCGGCGTATTCCCATAGAGAAGGACGGGCTGTGTACTAATCACACGCAGACACTGTCCTTCCCGGGAGCTGCCCGATATGTCCGTGCACGCCGCGCAGAGCTGTATGGGCCGGCCTTTTCTCGTGGAAAGGCCAAATCCTGTTTAATCAGCATGTCTCTTCGGTGATCCACAAATACCATTCTGCACATAATGAACCTTGTATGTCTGCGATACATTTATGTCTGTATTATAACCGTTCCGTTTTCCTCTCTTCCCGCAGAAAGACAACAAGGTGGCTGCTTAGTGCCGGATGAAGCTCCCCATTTTTTTTTTTTTTTTACCCTTTTGCAGTCCCAGGAAGATGTTTTCAGTCTTTTGTGAAGAATGAGGTTTAACTTGCTGTACATTTGGTCACCAGCACTGCGAGAGCGTGACTGCCGATGGAACGTCTTCAGTGCCGCGGGGTCCCAGAAACATTTTTTTTTTCTCCCTCTCCCAGTTTCCTCGCATCTTTTTTGCGGCCCCTGCAACACTAAAAGACTGTTGAGCGATCAATCGGCATTTCTGAAAGAAAACTAAAATACAGGGCAGCTTTGAAATATGTTGAGCATTAAGCATATTTGAGATAGGCGGCTGAGTTTTCGGTATGTCTAGTTTAACACGACACAAACTGATGAAAATGGGCGTTCCTTTTTTTTTTTCTTTCCTTTCCAACACTTTAATGTGTAGTCGCTGCGAGATCTCCCCAGAGTGCCGTCCATACTGGGAGGTTTCATCCTGTTGAAGGTTATTTTTGTTCTGTGTATGAAGGGCACAAGATCCTTGTTCTCCTAGTCGGACCCTCGTGAGGTCACAAAGCTGATGGCGGCACTTGTTGGATATTGTTGTAAGGAAGAGAAAAAAAAACAAAAACTTAATCTAGTTTCTAAGGCAAATGACCGTTTTCTATAGTTGTGAGATCGCGTTCTATTCCCACTGCCAAAGAAACCGAGCTTTGTATAGCTGTAAGAAAAAACAAACAAAAACGAAAAAAAAAAAGAATAGAGACAAACGAAACCTTTTGTATTCAGCACATCTCGTGGGGTGTACAATTGATATTGTTATGGGCCATTTCTAGTTTTTGTCTTTTTTTTGTAAAGCTTCCATTAGGTGTATACTTGTTTTTTCTAGAGGCAGAGATGCGATGCATATTTTGAAGTGTCATAATGTTCAATTTTTACTGGTCTTGGGTCTTTTTTTTTTTTTCTTTGTCTGTTTTGTAAATCGTGCACAATTCAGAAGTCTCCTGCCTTGGACCGGCTGGCCGCCACAAACCCCCCACCAGCGCAGAAAAGCTGTTTTTATGATCCCATCTTGCCATTTGCAAAAAAGTATGGTGCACGCGCAAATGTAGGTGAGCGCGGTAAAGAGGAGTATCGTAGGGCGCCCCGGGTTCAGTATTGTCAGGGGAAAGACTATCACCAGCACATTGCATGACTCCAGCCAGAGCTGTTTATTTGTCACAAGAGGTGCAAGCGAAGTTTTGGAGCCTACATCATCAGACGGTGACCTGTCAGTCGCCCAGATAAAGGGCTGATGTTGGTTCGGAAACATTGCGCGCAGCTTTGCGATTGATAAATGGGGCTTGATGGAGCAGAGGCATCACTAGCACACTGCATGCCCCCATCCAGAGCTGTTTATTTGTCACAAGGGGTACAAGCAATGTTTTGGAGCCTTCATCAGACGATGACCTCTGTCGCCCAGATAAAGGGCTGATGTTGGCTGAGAAACATTGCGTGTAGCTTTGCAACAAATGAATGGCACTTGATGGAGCAAAGACATCATTAGCACATGGATACCCCATCCAGAGCCATTTATTTGTAACAAGGGGTACAAGTAAATGTTTTGAAGCCTTCATCATCAGGGTGACCTGTCTTATTTGGCACAGACACTTTGCTAAATTAAGAGCCATTTATTAGTCACAAAGCTACATGCAATGTGTCTGTGCCAACTAGGCAGGTCACCCTGATGATGAAGGCTCCAAAACGTTGCTTGCACCCCTTGTGACCATGTGCTGGTGATGCCCTTGCTCCATCAAGAGCCATTTATTAGTCGCAAAGCTACATGCAAAGGCATCACCAGCTCACAATGCCCCATTGAGAGCCATTTGTCACAAGGGGTGCAAGCAACGTTTTGGGACCTTCATCATCAGACGGTGACCTGTCAGTTGCCCAGATAAAGGGCTGATGTTCGTTCGGAAACATTGCGCGTAGCTTTGCGATTGATAAATGGGGCTTGATGGAGCAGAAGCATCACCAGCACATGAATGTCCCATCCAGAGCTATTTGTCACAAGGGGTACAAGTAATGTTTTGGAGCCTTCGTCAGACTGTGACCTGTCCTAGTTGGCACAGACACATTGCGTGTAGCTTTGTGACTAATAAACTGCTCTTAATGGAGCTTGTAGTGGGCTAGTGATCCCTCTTTTGGGGGGGGGGGGATACTAAAAGCTAGAAGCCTCAGGAGCGGGGGAGCTTTAGGGCTCTGTGATGTCACAAGTTACCCTATAGATCAGGCGTGGGCAAATGCCAGCCCTCTGGCTGCTGTGGAACTTCCAATCCCAATGGGCGTTGCAAGACTCTGACTACCACATACAACACTCTGAGGCAGCTGCATGATGGGATTTGGACCACAGCTGGGGGCCGGAGTTTGCCTAAACCCCCCCCCCGTGATGCATTATGTGGTGGCGCCCTTGCGGTGTGGAGTCGTTTGGTCTGTGAACGATGCCGTGTATGGCCATTGGATCATCGCAGGAGTTTTATTATCAGTGAACGGGCAGGCCGGTGTTCTAGGTTCCTCCGATGGGTGCTGATGGCCGGCGTGAAGTCATTGTGGCCGATCCCGAGGAAAGGGGTTCCTTCTTTTTTTTTTTACTTTGAAATGAACATACAATTGTTCAGCTTGTTTTGTAGAGCGGAGTTGGACGTTTACCTGCAGAGAACTCTCTCGGTTTGGGTAGGATACATTTTCTAGAGCACACTCCGTTGGTTGGTGCGGACAGTACAAGACGACCGCTTACATTGTACTGATTGGGCGCCTCGTTATATTTTTTGCTCCCTCACAAGATTTTACATTTTGTGTCTCAGTTCTACAAATTATAAATAAAGGGATCCAAAGATGACGATAGAAGGATTTTAAACTTTCATTTGTCAGGTTCACAGTTTTTGTTTTTTGTTGAGGTAAAATAAAAGTACTTAAGGTAGCATTGCCCACTGCTGTGTATGGATAGCACTGCTTGTGGCGGGATACAGGCTCTTCACCTAGGCAGGCCCGTGGCCGCCACTTAAGGAGAGGTCCGAGGGGGTGCCGTGGGCTCGGTGATGATGGAAGCTGTACAAAGCTGCGTTTTTCTCATCAGGGATTTGAAGTTGCACAGCGCAGGTTTTATTTCTTTTTCAATTTGATAAATGGCAAAGATCTTACTGTTTCTTCACCTTGTGATTAAAGGAAACCTGTCATGATAAAGATATGGAGTGTGCCGCTGCTGATTTTCAGGTGCTAGTGCTGTCATCTCTTCTTTGCTTTACAGTAGTCAAGCTATGGTCCTCCAGCTGTGGTGCAACTACAAGTCCCATGTGCCATTGCAAGACTCTTTGACAGCCGCAGGCATGGCTCCCAGAGACAGATGCATGATGGGATTTGTGGTTTTATCACAGCTCAAGGGACAGAGTTTGCACACCCCTGCTTTACTGTACTAGTGAGTCGCTAAGCTAGAAGTGTCTTTATGGTAAAGTGCAGCTGTGCCCAGACTATGGACATTCAACTATTTACATGTTCTTAAAGGGGGAGTCCATGCTTCATGTTAGAACTATATTTAGGGTGTAACACGAAGCGGGGTCGCAATTGTCGATCTGCCCACCCCCAATGGAACTGTGGTCTGAAAGTTGTAATGATTTAAATTCGGGATGCACAGATACCAGTATTTTGGTATCGAGTACCAATATTTTTTTTTTTCTGGTACTCGCCGGTACCGAATACCGATACCAGAAGTCCCATTCAAGAAGCCTGGTGCCGTGTAATGACTCGCCACCCGGCTTCCTGATTAGCAGGGGAGTTGCCCCCATGCTTCTTGTCACTATGTGACAAGAAAACATGGAGCCGGCTTCCTGATTGGCCGGGAAGCCAGCTCCATGCTCCCTCTGGTCGGGAAGCTGGCCAATCAGGAAGCCAGGCAGCGCGTCATTACACGCTGCCCAGCTTCCTGATTGGCCGGGAAGCCGTCTCCATGCTCCCTTGTCAAAAGTGACGAAGCATGGAGCTGGCTTCCTGACCAATCGGGGAGCTGGGCAGTGTGTAATGACGCGATGCCCGGCTTCCTGATACTTCCTGTATCGGGCTAGGCATCGGAGCATTTGGGCGAATGTGAGTACTCTCCCAAATACTCGGTATGCGCACAGATACTAGTATCGGTGCATTCCTAATGTATCATGACTCGAGAGTCATGATACAGAGAGATCGATGTCGCTGTATTTACTAGAAGGACTCGGCCTTCAACAAGCTGTAAAAGCTTTCAATCAAACCATCACTGACCTCTCCAGCTGCTTTTAATGTGAAGTTTATTCTTAAAGCGACTCGAGGATCACACTAAGAGGGGGGAGCTGAGATTTCAGTGCCTATGGGAATTTCCAAAAATCAGTTTCTCCGCAATGCTTCTACATACAGAGGTGAATGAGGCTCGGTATAAAGTCGCTTGATTGCTTGTTGAGAATGTAAATAGCGCACGATGCGGGTACAGGACGGCTTCAAAAAGTAGATCCAAGAAAATGTTTTAGTATTAAATTCCCCGTCGGGGGTTTTCACTGCTCCCCGAGAATTCTCCTTCTTGTCCCTATGAAGACTTCTCAGTGAGAATCGGCAACAGGAAGCACGGCATAAGGAGTTGTCGGCTCCTCTCGCCTACGAGGAAAAGTCTATTCTGTTCCTGCAGCAGATGTTTACTTCACTTCCTGTGTAGAGGAATCGTTGTCGGGTCTCACAGGCAGAGCCCGGGATGGCAATACAAACCTGAAGAGAAGTTCTAGTCCTCCGCATTGCCAGTAGACATGCGCACCAGCAAAAAATTTGTTTTGATTCGGATTCGGCTTTGTTTAATTTTTCGGATTTGGACGAAATTAGATAGCGGTAATCCGTACGAAATTTTGTTTCGTTCGTTGCAGCAAAGAGACATTTTAAGAGGGAAAAAAAAGTTTTTTCGTTCTGTCACTGCTGCAACAAAATTTCGTCCAAAAAAAAAAACGAAAGTTCTTCCAGACTACCGCTAACGAATTTCGGAATCGGAAATTCGGATTCGTTTGCATTCGTTATATCTGGAATGCGGAGACATCAGAATCTCCAAATTTCAGAAAT